GCCGAGGCCGCCGGCCGGCGAGGAGAGCGGCGAGGGCGGGAGCTCGCGCGGCCGCGCACCGCCGCTCGCGACGGACGGGCGCGCCGGCCAATGGGCGCGGCGCACAGCAGTGGGGCTACCGCGGCCGACCAATGGCAGCCCGCGCCGTACTGAGCGCCCGCACGCCCTGCGACGACGCAGGACGCACGACGCAGGCCGGGCCGTGGCGGCGGGGAAAACCTGGGGCGGAGAGCTGGAGCGTGGAGTACGCGCGGGATCGGGCCGGGGGCGGCGGGCAGGGAGAGGCCAAGGTCACGGCGGGCGTGGGCGCCTCCCCGCGGTCCAATTCTCCGCGGCCCGAGCCGGGGCCTTTCCTGGCGGCGTCGGAGACGGCGCCCGCCGGTCCACACGACCCCGGCCCCCGCGATCTCGGCGCGGAACCGAGCTGCGGGGTCAGCTGCCTCCCGCCGACGCCCCCGGGCACAGTGTGCTCACCACCGCCGGGCGATTAGGGTCCCCCGAATCGGAGGCCGTCAGCGGGCTGGCGCCTCCTAACCCGTGAAAGTCCTCCCATCAAAACAAAAGCCGCATGCGTCTCGATGCCTCCAAACGCCGGCGACCGCGAGCAGGAGGCCACGCGGTGCCCTCCGGCACTGGCCACCCCGCCCTCTACAAGTGGGGCCCTGAACATTGACCACAAGAGGGCGTGGGCCCTGGACACGCCACCCCCACCCCGGCCAGAGGACCTGACACCTGCCAGTCTGCAACTTGGCCCCGGGATACTGACCCCGCAGGGGGAGGGGGCCCCCGACGCTGACCACCCCCACTCCTTGCCAAAACACTAGCCATCCCTGCCGCTTTGCCTGACCACTTGTGGGATGTTTTAGGTCGGGACCCGGAAGCTACTACAGGATTCTTGTTAGGGTGGCTAGAGCAGTTCTAGGAGAGAGCTTAAGCTGCACCTACCTTCACAATAATCCGAGGGTGGGATGCTGCCGCTGCTTGGGAGGTACTGTGGCCACGCCATGGTGGCCCTCACCTTGCAGCCGATTGTTAGTGAAGAACAATAGAGGAACAGACGCAATTTAAGTATTAGAGGAGTTCAGTGTGAGGGAAGGACGGGCAGGAAGTTCTGGGGAGAGCTGCTTGACACAGGCCCCAGTCAGGAGGCCATAGGGTCATTCTGTGCGTGTGTGCTATTCATTCTGAGTCCACTCATATTGGAGGAAATGAAGATTAATGTGTCCCTCTGAACGTGACATTTGCATATCTTGTTTGTCACATATGCTTATGTAGTTATGAGTACAAATTCCTAAGGATTCCATCCTCTGAACCATAAGCTGGACACGCTAGACACTGAGAATAGTTTCACTGAATATGCATTCATTTATTTGGGGAATTTTTCCTTTATTTTGTATGCAGTGCTGAGATAGAGAAATGACAAACAGGCAAAGGCAAGAGCCCAGGAGCAGGCAAGAGAGGGCCCAGTGGCCGCTGGCACCCTGGTGGTGGTTGGCATCCTGGGTTCCCACTTTCCAGTGCTGTGCCTGTGTCTAGGCCTGTGCCTGGTGGCAGCTCTGGGCTCGGCTTTGGTGTTGTGCAGCAGCGGGGAAGGAACCCAGGGGAGCTCTAGCCTGGGCAGTACCAGACTGTCTGGAGGAGAAAGCACTGGTACGTGGCACTTGGATGGTCAGAAAGGACTCCAGAGAGGGAAGGCGGCTTGCCTGGCCTTCCAGCCATTAAGTGCTTGGTGAGTATCCACTGTACGCCAGCACAGCTGGGAATGGACAGGCCACTGAGCAGGGTATGTGGCCATGTTCCAGGAGATGCTTGCAGTAGGCAGCAGCCATTTGCCATCAAGGGGTGGGGGGGCAGAAGAGACACACCAGGCCTGGTTTCTGAAGGGTGTGTCTGTTCATGTCAAAGCAGTGAGCCCGCAGTGTTCTGGACGCAGGTGCAGGAGAAAGCAGAGTCCTTGAGTGCTTAGAGCCTGGCTGGAGGACCCACAGTACACAGCACAAAGAGCAGCCTGCCTGTGAGAAGTGATGGAGCCAAGAGATGGGCGAGACATACAGGGGAATGAGACCTCAGAACCAGGTGTCAACCATGAAACAACAACTATAATAGAGTATGAAGAAAGTTACACTCTTGGTCAAGTGCAGTGGCACATGGCTGTAATTGCAGCAATTCGGGAGGCTGAGAAGGGAGGATCACAAGTTAGAGGCCAGCCTCAGCAACTTAGCAAGTGCCCAGTGTGGGGAGGTAGTTCCACACTCAGTACCATATTTATTAATTTAACTAAAAGAACAGCTATAACTCCATAATGAAAAGACAAGCCAGTTTTCCAACATACGGAGATTTGCACAACTACTTCAAAAGAGATGATACATGAACATCCAGTGTATACTCGAGACAATGTAGAATATCATGAATCATGAGGGAAACACCAGCTAGACCTATAAACTGACAGCAAATGCACATTAACCCTGGGCCATGATCAACACCCACTGGTGGCTGGAGTGAGTTAGACTGGTGCTACTAACGTGGTTGGTGGAGACAGGAATGTAGGAATGGCATGGTGCTCTGGGGCCAGTGACTGTTTTTTTTTTTTTTCTTTTTGGCCAGTGCTTTACCACTGAGCCACATCCACAGCCCTTCTCATTTTCTATTTTCAGACAGGGCCTCACTTATTTTCTGAGACTGGTCTTGAGTTTGCCATCCTCCTGCCTCAGCCTCTCCAGCTGCTGGGATGAGGGGCTTTGGCCATTACACTGGGCAACTGAGTGCTTTCTGACATAACATCACACACACCCACCGCATGATCCAGCCATCCCACTCATTATTTATCAAGAGAAAAGAAATGGCTGAGAGCTGGGGATGTGGTTCAAGCGGTAGCACGCTCACCTGGCATGCGCGGGGTGCTGGGTTCGATCCTCAGCACCACATAAAAATAAATAATAAAGATATGTATTCACCTAAAAAAAAAAAAAAAAAATATTAAAAAAAAAAAAAAAAGAAAAGAAAAGAAATGGCTGAGCCGGCGCAGTGACACATGCCTGTAATCCCAGCGGTTTGGAACGCTGAGACAGGAGGATCGTTGAGTTCAAAGCCAGCCTCAGCAATAGCAGGCGCTAAGCAACTCAGCGAGACCCTGTCTCTAATAAAATACAAAATAGTGCTGGGGATGTGGCTCAGTGCCCCTGAGTTCAATCCCAAGTACCAAAAAAATGCTGGACATGGGTTTGTGGCTCAGCAGTAGAGAGCCTGCCTTGCACGCGTGAGGCACTGGGTTCAATCCTCAGCACCACATAAAAATAAATAAATATACTGTGTCCCCAAAAAAAGAGTTTTAAAAAAAAAAAGTGTGCATGGTAACTCATTTCTAACAACCAACTGAAGTGCCCTGGGTGCTGTGGTTGGGTCTTAAGTGCCCCCCAAGGCCCATGTGCTGAAGGCTTGCTACTCAGACGTCCTGGGGCCTTTAGGAGGTGGACTTAGTGTGAGGCCTTGGGGTTGGTCATCGGGGGTGTGCCCTTGGGGGACTGTGGAACCCAGGCTCCTCCTCTCCCTGCCTTCCTTGCTCCCTGGCCACAGGACGAGCAGCTGTGTACAGCCTGTGCATCCACAATCATGTGGTGTCTTGGGGACAGACTGGAGCCTCGACAACACAAGCCAAAGCAGAACTTAGACCAGTGGGTGAAGAGACCAGTACTGTCACACAGCAGCCTGGGGATGGGGTGCTGGACCACCTCCCAAGGCAACTGGGACTGGTCCTGACATACACACCTCTTTGTGCTTCCCTGCAGGAATTCTGTGGCAAGTGTTTTGAGTTGCCTCAGTGAGATAATAGTAATATAGCGACATTTAAAGTGCACATCTTTTGGGCTGGGAATGTGGCTCAAGCGGTAGCACGCTCGCCTGGCATGCGTGCAGTCCGGGTTCGATCCTCAACACCACATACAAACAAAGATATTGTGTCTGCCAAAAACTTAAAGAAATAAATATTAAAATTAAAAAAAAAAATAAAAAATAAATAAAGTGCACATCTTTTGACCCAGTAATTCCAGGTCTAGAAATTTATAAGTAAATGAGGCTATGCAACTGTACAGGTGCTTACAAATGCATTGTTTAAAAACAGAAATCAGGGGTGGGGGTACAATTCAGAGTAGTTACTTGCCTAGTATATGCACGGCCCTGGGCTTGCCCCCAGCATCAAACACACACACATACACAACATACAGAAAATCTACAACTGACTTCAGTGCCCATCATTTTAGCCAGCTGAATGTTTGATGTACAGCCATGAAGCAGACTATGTCTCTTTTTTTAAAATGAAAGGGGTGAGAGCTGAGCACAGTGGCATACACCGGCAATCCCAGCTTCTGTGGAAGCCGAAGCAGGAGGCAGCCAATTTAGGGCCTGTCTCAAAAAGACATTAAAAATTGGTAAGGGGTTGGGGTTGTGGCTCAGTGGTAGAGTGCTCGCCTAGCATGCTTGGGGCACTGAGTTCAATCCTCAGCACCACATAAATGTAAACTAAAGAGATTGTATCCACTTAAAAGTAAAAAATAAATATTGAAATTGAAAAAAAAATTGGTAAAATAACATCATCTGATTTCAGGAACAAAAGTTTTATAGATGAATAATACATATATTCATAACAATTTTATTCTCAACAAATGAGGGTTTCTGAAACAAATCTTATGATGTTTGTTTTCAGAAAAAGTTTGCCCAGAAAGTGCTTAATTTTACTGATATTTACTGGATTTAAAAGCAAATGTGGAGGGGCTGGAGTTGTGGTTCAGTGGTAGAGTGCTCACCTGGTGCGGGCAAGGCCCTGGGTTCGATAAAGGTATTGTGTCCAACTACAACTAAAAACAACAACAACAAAAAGTGAATGTGGAGCCAGGCACAGTGTGGCACACGCCTATAATCCCAGTGGCTCCGGAGGCTGAGGCAGGAGGATCACGAGTTCAAAGCCAGCCTCAGTAATGGCAAGGCGCTAAGAAACTCAGTGAGACCCTGTCTCTAAATAAAACACAAAATAGGGCTGGGGATGTGGCTCAGTGGCAGAGTCCCCGGAGTTCAATCCCTGGTAGCACCTTCACCCCCCCAAAAAACATCAATGTGGGGACTGGGGTCATGGCTCAGTGGTAGAGCACTTGCTTAGCATGTGTGAGGCACTGGGTTCAATCCTCAGCAAAAATAAATAAAGGTATTATGTCCCTCTACAACTAAAAATATAATAATTTTAAAAAAGTGAATGGGATTCTGAGGTCTACTCCATGAAAACTGCTTCTCTAGCGGGTGCAGTGGAGCATGCCTCTGATCCCAAGTTAGTTCAAGGCCAGGCCTGGTCTAATAAGGGGTGCAGGTAGGGCTCTCCACACAGCTCCCCTAGGAGCCTTTGGCCCCAGGAGGCACGCACGCTGTAGTGAAGGCAGGCCCTCCTGCAGCCAGGAGGGCAGTCTCGTGTCCCAATGGGTGTTCTCCAAACATGATCCGAGGGCCAAGATGACCTTCTGTAGTCACATAGTGGCTCACCTCTGGTCACACTGAACTTCCAGGTCCACCTGCATCTCATCCACTAGGCTGCCTTTCTGAAGCTCTATGGGTAAAGCTGGTGTCCCTCAATTCTTGAAAAACACACCCACACCTGGAATGGGACAGACTGGAATTCAGCTGTGAATACAGAGGGGCCTGTGCACACCCAGGGCACCCTGCAGCCTCTCATGCTCATGGGTGCCCCACTCTTCCCATCTCTTGAGTCTGTCCCTCAGGCCCACATGTATTCGTTGGGTCCCCCAGTCCATGACCGGCAGCTGCAGCCCTGTCCCTTGCAGCCACTCCAGTGAGGCTGTGGTAGGGCGCCAGATGGCATTGTTTCTCCAAGGACTGATGATGCCTGTCATCTCTCCATGGGCATATGGTAGGCAGGACAGCAAGGGCTCTCAGTCACGTGCTCAGGATCAAAGAAAGATGCCAGGTCTGGGCAGGGGGCTTTGTGGGGGCAGCTGGAGATGTGAGAGAGTGGAGGCCCTTCTCCCCCCGCCCCCCGAGCGTGGGCCAGGCCCTGATGTCCCATGGCTGTGCCAAGTCTACAAGAGCACTTAGGACTCACTGCTGCTGCTGGGAAGCCGGCAGCCCCTGGCCACCCTTTCTAACCTCATGTAGGGCCTGGCACCTGGCCACACACTTCACTCACTCTCCACTCCCCCAGCCCCTGTGAAGTCGGTGACCACCTCTCACTCTGCGGAGGGCAAGTGGAGGCTGGTGCTGGCCTACATGACAGGGCTGGGTCGCCAAGGCAGGCTGCCTAGGAAGGTCTGAGCCCCGCCACAGATCCCTCCTGGGGCAGTGCTGGACACACTGGAGGGCGTGCGGGGAGCACGTCTGGTCTGGCTATCATCAGCTGGTGAAGCCCCCCAGCAGAGGTTGCCCCACAGGGGTCCTGCCTGCCCACTAGCCCCAGGAAGGTGTAGATGGAGAACAGGCCTGGAGTTGCTGTGTGCAGCAGCCTGGGGACACCCTGCCAACACCAGACTCCTGCAGGTGGCCATCTCTGGCCCACCTGCCACCATCTGCCCGTTGGCCCAGAACCTCCCACACAAGCCTCACCTGGGACCCTGCGAGGCAAAGCATCTGCTTCCTCTCCAAGGGTCCCTGACCTCTCTGGCCTCAGGATACTGCCAGGCCGTGGCTCTGCGCTGGGAACTGGCCACCCCATAGCTGTCCTTAACCTCACCCACAGAACTGCTCCTTAAGGACTGGGGGTTGTGGCCCAGAAGTACAGCAGGTGCTCAGCGTGTGCCAGGCCCTGGGTTCCAGCAACCAGCACAAGAAATGAGTAAAGATGAAAATCATGAAACTAGAGGCAGCTGTTCCCTTTGACCCTCCCAGTCAAACTGAAGTTTGATGGAGAAGTTTGGGATGTGCCAGAGATGCTACCCAAATCCCACTGTCTGTTACACAGAGATCCAGTGCAAGCTTAAATTGTTCCCCAGGTGACTCACTTCTGGGAGTTCTTGGGGGAACCATGTAATCCCTCTCTGAAAACAGGCTTTTAAAAATGCATAGAGCCACAATCCTCCATCATCCCCAGAAAGGCCCCCATCTTAGAGGCCAGTCCCTCCGTGGCAGCTGTTGGCTGCACTGTGATGGTACTAGGAAGTTCCCTGCTCAGCCTCCTTCTGGAGGGAGGCAGGACTCCCCACTGAACCTGCACCAGGAGGCTGCCCAGGTTCAGGTGTGGAAAGGGAGGGGACCCATGCTGCAGCCCAGCCAAGTGGGGGCTCCACACTCAGGCCCTTTTCAACTGTTTATTCCACATCAGTTACTTCAGGGGATGGACACTCGACTGTATAGAGATTGAAAGCAAAAAATATACAGTTTAACATGTGTCAGTCACCCACCTAGACAGGCACACGGCACAACACAACACAGGATGAAGGCAGCCTAACGTGTGGAAGCGTCACACACATTAAGGAAACTCAAGTGCCGCATAAGGCCATCTGTGGGCCTCAGCACCTCCACCTCCAGGATGAGCCCAGCGCAGCATCCGGGATTCTGAGAGCAGTCCTATTTGGAGACACTGCTTTCTCCTTGTCCTTAAGGCGAGCTCACGGGGCAGTTCAGCCAGGGCTGAAAGGGACCATCAACAAGCAGAGGGCTTCGCTGTCCCACCTGCTGTAGGGCGGGGTGGGCCTCTGGCTCTCCCCCTGGCCCTGTGATGGTACTGATGTTTTGGGGATGCTCCCATGTCCTCCCTCCCACTCCCCCAACTCTGCTCCCGATGACAATCACCCTCATCAGGCCTCTCCCCCTGCAGCAAGTCCAACTCAGACTGAATGCACAAGGTCAGGCCGGGCCGGAGGGGCCAGTGCACAGGCCCCCAGCTGGCCACGTGTGGCCCCAGCAGGGCGGTGGTGCTGCACTTTGGTGGCCCAGGAACATGGCCCACTGGTGCCAGAACTCTCGGTCATTCTTAGAAATGTCTATAAGCGAAAGCAGGAGTCAAACCAGGCCAGGAGGCTGGGACTGTGCTGCCTGCCCCAGTGGCCCTGCTGCTGCCACTTCTGCAGCGGCCATCACCAAGGAATGCAGACTGCATACCTGGCCTTGACTCTTCACAAGACACCTCTTAGATTTTTTTTAACCCTAAAAGACAGTGCACCATCTTGGTTCTCGCTCTTTGGATTTTTCATACAACCTTAGGATAAAAGGACACGGCCTCCCCCCACGCTGTGTCGGGCAGCAGAGGACTCTCACAGCCAGCCAAGCTCAGCAAGCTGTTTCTTGGAGACCCACCCTCCAGCGCAGAGCAGCCCTCCTGTGGAGGGGCTGTCCCAGCTTCTTTCACCACCTAATGTCCAGGCTGCCCAAGCAGCGCACTGGGCTCGGGTGTGTGGCGTGCAGCACTTCCTGAGCACCAGGGGAGCCCAGCCACGCTTGGTACATCTCCTGCAGGTGTGCACTGGTCTCTGGGGGCTGCACAGGGATGTCAGCGTAGATGCTCTCCATCTGCCGCAGCAGGGTCTTGTCTGAGTGCCCGTCCTCAGTCTGCGCTTGGCCTCTGCCACTCAAGCACCCTGAAAGGCACACACAGGCAACTGCTGCTTCCTATGGGAAAGTCAGTCTCTGGGAGGCACTGGGAGACAGTCTGGGGCAGGCGAGGAGCGGGGGCAGAGCAGCTGCACACCCACACACTGTCTGCACAAGCACCTGGCTCCTGCTATCAGTGCTGCTGACTCTCTAGCCTGTATACGATGTCTTCATCAATAGTAGCAAAATTCACTTAATGAACCAGCAGTGGCTCATGCTTGTAATGCCAGCAGCTCAGGAGGCTGAAACAGGAGGATCGCAAGTTCAAAGCCAGCTTCAGCAACATTGAGGCACTAAGCAAAAGTGAGATCCTGTCTCTAAATATAATACAAACAGGGCTGGAGATGTGGCTCAGAGGCTAAGTACTCAATCCCTGGTACTCCCTTCCCACCCACCCACCCCAAAAGAACCAGTAGTGGCCAGGGTGCAGCTCTATGGTAGAGCACTTGCCTCACGTGCACAAGGCCCTGGGCCCATCCCCAGCACCACCTCCAGCACAGCAAACCAGAAGCAAACTTCCACAGGGCTAAACCTCACTCTCCATGAAGCCAGGGCAGCAGGCAGCCCGACTTGTGGTCTCCACCGTCGGCACACGTGGACACACACTCCCAAAGGCCCTGCCTCACTGGCCACCTGTCCCCACTCCTGCCCCTGGCAAGCTTTGTGAGCTCTGCACCTGACCCCCCACACCAGCTCTCTACCCTCCACCCTCCCCTAACTCGAGCTGGTGTCCCTCCTGGCTCCTCCGGGTCACGGAACAGTACACCGCTCTCTCCTGCCTGGCCTTCCCTAGCGTCTGTAGTCCTCGTTGGCTCACCCTGGGTCTCTCTAGGAACCCTGCTCTCATGCACCCATGTTACTTCACCCTGGGGACACAGACATCCCTAGTTTCCAAGTCAGCACCCTGCAGAGTAGGTGGGCCATCATGGGCCAGGGGCTCTTTGTCCTCCTGACAGCCACACCTGCATCAGGGACCCCTGTCCATCTGGCTCTGGTCTGCTCTGTCCCCTCACTGGGACCCTGTCATCACCTGCCTGTGTTACCCCTCTGCACGTCAGGAAGCTCCTCAAACACAGGGCTCTCGTGAGCCCTCAGATGTGCCTCTCCTCAGCTCCGGGAAGCCTCTGTCCCCAGAGCCTGGCAGTACACAGGCCACCACGTGAGCTGCTCTGACCTGGTACACACACCTCCCCCAGGGAGCTCTGAAGGCCATGTGTAACTGCCCACTCCTTTCCCCCTGGTACTGGGGACTGAACCCAGGGGTACTGCACCACTGAGGCGCACACTCAGCCTTTTTTATTTTATGTTGAGACAGCCAAGCTGTCCAGGCTGGCCCTGAACTTGAGCTCCTCCTGCCTCAGGTTCCAGAGTCCTTGGGGGCACAGGTTTGGGTATGCCACGTGCCCAGCTTCCCTACATGACAGGGAGTGAGGACGAGAGAGCGAGCACAGCCAAGGCCATCGTGGGGCAAGCACAGAGCTGGGGGCTGGGGGGCTGTCTGGGCGGGCTCTGCTCCGCAGCTCACCTCTGGGACAGGCGAGGACCTCCACGAAGTGGTACGGGAACTTGCCCTTCTTGAGCTTTAGGATCATGTTCTGGATATTCCTAAAGCCGTAAGCAGCAGCGAAGCGTAACAGAACCTCCCCGTCCTTTTCCAGGGTGACCTCCTGGAAGTCTTTGTTTCTATAAAACAAATGACATGGATTTTGACTGCAGAATTGTCTTTCTGTGACTTGAGGGTCCTTTTCCAATCTGAGTTGGGAATGTCAGCCAGATGAAGTCTGGGTCAACACACAAAAGGCCTTTTGGTGGACTGGCAAAGCCTCTCCCACGCCACCCATGCTGTGCCCAACTGCCCTGCTGCCCGCAGGAGGCCTGCTGCAGACAGCCCGCCCGCACCTCAGGGCGCGGTAGGTGATCTCCTCCACGTGCTCGTTGAACAGCTCCTTAGCCGCGTGTCTGAAGACGTGGGCCAGGTGCCCGTCAGAGCCGGCTCCCTCGTGGCGCCTCACTGTGGCCTCCTTCATGTCTCCAAACCTCACCAGGCAGAGGGAGAGAAGTCCTCCTTAATGATGATGGGAAGCCACAGTGCAAGCCAACCCGACACCCCAGGGTCCCAGGCCGAAGGGCGCCACTGAAACCAACCACAGCCTCTGGAAACTGAGATTTGGGGAGTCACATTCTTAAGGAGTGCTAACAGTTGGCACAAAGTCTCCTCCTGCGCCTGGTCTGAAGCTGCAGGAGGGCTGTGCTTGTTGCTGGACCATTCATTCACTTCCTTCTCCAGTTGCATGAGCAATAGGAGGGACGAGGACCAAGCACCCAAGTGACACAAGAGCACATCTGCCTGTGCTGAGCCACAGCGAGAACGCTGGGTCATCCCCGGCCTAGGTGCAGACCCTGCCTGGCACTCAGGTTGAAATTCCACGAGCCTCAGCCCCATCTCCATAACAGACAACAGCTGGGAAGAGGGCAAGCAGACAGCCTTGCGACCCTGGCTGGCCACCAGGTGGAGACCAGCTGCTGTGTCCTTGGCTCCAATGGCCCTGAGGAGCAGAAGCAGCAGTGCAGAGGTAGGTCTTGCTGCCCTGCATCCAGCCCGCCCCCTTCCTTGAGGGCTTGGTGTGCCCATCCCACACAGACGCCAGCCCTGGCAGCCCAGAGTCCTGACCACTCCAGTTCAAGCCAGGAGGATGGCTGTGGGTTGTGATAGGGCCATGGGCAGCGCCATCTCAGGGCTCAGGCGCTCTAGTCACAGAGCAGTAAAGCCTGGGGCTAGCAGGGGCGGCTTGAGAGTTTGCAGGTGGCCCTGCCCAGAGACCCCCCCCAGAAGCCACTTACAGGGTATCCACTGCAGCATCTTTCACAGAAAGGTCACTTTGCTCCATTATCTGAGCAACTTCACCTGCAGACAAACAAGAAGCCTGAGATACTATGAGGACAGAGGGTCCAGGCCCTTGTGCTGTTCCTCCTTTGGGGGAGTCTGGACTAGTGACCCTGGACCCCTCAGCACAGAGCAGCAGCAGACTCGGGGAAAAACACAAACAACAGGCCAGGGTCTGAGCCTCCCTAAGCCTTGGCACCGAGGGCTTAGGGGTGGCTCCAAGTCATCTCCAGGTGGCATGCTTCTGCGCACAGCCAGCATGCACTGAGGTACCTCAAACCAGCTCACTCGCTCTGGTCTTTTTGGTGCGGGGGGATTGAGCAAGGAGTGCTTTACCACCAAGCCACATCCCCAGCCCCGTTTCTATTTTTATTTTGAGATAGGGCCTCACTAAGTTAGTGAGGCTGGCCTCAAACTTGCAATCCTCTCGCCTCAGTCTTCTGAGTTGCTGGGATTATAGGTGTGCGCCACCACACCCCGCTCTATGTTACTTCCTCACGAGGTGTCTGGTGGAAACAGAGCCCCTTAAACGGCTGCCAAGGTGTCAGGAACACAGTATGCAGCACGAAGACCGCAAATGTGGTGCAGCTGCGTGCAGTGCTGTAAACCCAGCCGTACTCGGAGGCTGAGGCAGGAGGACCACAAGTTCAAGGCCAGCCTAGACAACTTAACAGGTCCCTGCAAGTAAGAAAGTGAAAGAAAGAAAGGAAGAAAATCAAAAGGACTGGGGATGTGGCTCAGTGCTAGCACATCCCAGGTTCAACCCCCGTCTGTACACACACACACCAACAGGGCTGAGAGCTTAGTGCTGGAGTGCCTGCCTGCATGCTTGAGGCCCAGGGTTCCATCCCAGCACCAAAATGAAAATTGCTCGATGTGTTCTCTGTGCAGGCTGTACCTTTCCAGCATGAGCACATGGCCACTGGCCATTTGCTAAGGAAGTAGAGGACAGCACCACAGTGACCCTGAGTCCCTTCTGCCACGTCACTCCCACAGGGTGCACCCCAAAGGTGGAGACCTTCCTGTAGGGATTGGCTTGCTAGACTTCCTGGCCACGCCAAGAGGGGAATACCTACACTCCAAGTTTTTCCTAAGAGCCTGCCACTCTGCCTGACCACAACTGGTCTCACACCTGGAGATCAGTTTCCAGCATGGGATTCCAGCCTTCTTCTAGCTTCCCCAGTGACCTCAGCGGGCTTTCTTCCAGCCGGGGAAAAAAGGAAAGGAGCTGGTTCACATAGAGAACCTGCAGGCCTAGCAGTCCACTGGTTTGGGAGATAATTCCTATCCCCAGGTTGAGTACCTGCCTGCTCTGCTGGTGTGTGCAGCAGCACCCCTGGGCTAGTGGGCAGGCAGGACCCCTGGGCAGGGCCCTGCTGTTTTCTCCGTGAGAGCTCCACTGTGCCTAGGGCAGACTTAGCAGGCCTCCTGTGGTCAGGCAGGACTCCCTAAAGGGCAGCAGGTGACACAGGCCACAGCCACACTGCCCCCGGGGTTCTCCTAGAGACTCGAGTACTGAAGACATGGAGGAAGCAAGGTTGTACCAGCGCCAGCTCTCCCTTCTCAACCCAAGGGCCCTCAGCACTGGCCAATCAAAGAGCCAGCCAGTGTCCAGGCACAGCCCTGCCCGCCTCTCACCTGATGTCAGCACACAGTCAGCACCCTGGGCACCGTGCGCAGCAGAGAGCCCCTCTCGCAGAGCCTCCAGCTTCTTGTCGTAGCAAGGGGCCACAACTACGTGGAAGATCTTCTCTGGGGCCAGGTTCTGTGGAGGAGAGTGCCTCATGCTGAGGGCTGGCGGAAGCTACTCACTGCCCACCCCCACATGTGGCACCGGGGGTGCTGGCTCTGGGTCTGACCCCCGGCTCCAGCTCGCTCTCACCCCCTCCTGGTCTGCTCCAGCACTGCGCCCGCACCTCTGCTGCCTCACCTGAAAGGAGCTGGCTCACAGAGGGAACCTGCAGGCCTAGCAGTCCTGGGAGCGGCCCTCCACAACCAGGAGGGCCGAGCCTGCCTCCAGCACTGTGCACACAGGGCAGGACAGGAAGAACAGGCGTGTGCTCCGCCTGGCTTACTGCAGTCTCCTGAGGCTGTCCCCTGGGGCCTTGGTGTGAGGAGCAGGTACCCAAGGCTGGACCAGAACTGGGGTAATGCTGATGAGGCCCAGTTCAAAGGCCCTGCTGGAGGCAGGGGCGGAGCCTGAGAGGAAGCCTGCCTTGATCACAGCCCCACCAGGGGTGAGGGGAGACGTGGCTGCAGGCCGGTTCCCCAGCAGGACCTGCAAGGGATCCACAGCTTTGGGATCCAGCCAGGGGAGGGCAGGGCTGGCAGCAGGGGAGACACACAGGGGCAGGGCAAGGGCAAGGCAGAATGGCCCAGGGTGTGCTGTTTTGTGCCCCTGACACCGGTCAACTATGGTGACCTTATGAAGCAAAGGTCCCCTGTGGCTGAAACCACAAGGCTGCCAGGAGAGTGGCTTTTCACAGCTGGCTTCCAGGGTCTGGAAGACCCTGTTATTGTCCTCTTCAGTTGCCATGACACCGGTGGGACAGTGCCCCCAAGGAGGACAACAGTGCAGGAGCGGTGGCACGCAGCACAGCGATCCATGGTTGCCTCCAGACACCAGGGGAGGCAGGGGTGAAGGAGCCCCAGGCTGGGACTCGGGCTGCCTCATGGAGGACAAGGTCAAGCCCATGGCTGAATCTCACAAGGAGTCACGTGGCACCCATGGTCTGAGGGGCAGCCAGGACAGAAAGGAGGCTGGTTTCCTGAGTGACAGTAGTCCTCAGCCTCCAGGCACAATCCCCCCCAGGCCTCCATGGTGAGCCTGGCCCAGAAGTAAGGAGGCATCACCTAAAGTGTTTCCATGAGGGCCAAAATGGGCCCAGGAGAAAAAGAATAAGAAGAAAGGAAGAGATTATAACAAGAGAGAGGCAGAGGTGGGCACTGGCAGAAAGGGTGACACGGGATCCTCACCAGAAGCCACAGCTCCCAGGAGTTCACCTGGACATAAGGGTCACCTCCCAACCAACACGCTGCCCTCTGAAAGGATCAGCTTACCTGCTGTTTGGCAAAGTAATCCTTCACCAAGGAGCCCATGACCTGCTGAGGGGACTTGGCAGCACACAGGTGGGGAGTAACAGGGTGTCCCAGCACCCGCTCAGCGTATCGGACCCAGCCTGGGGAGGAGAGTCCACAAGGTCAGCTGCAGCCTCGTCAGGGGTTCACACAGACTGTCCACCACGACCTGCCCTCCACAGCTCAGGCAGTGGGCTGGGAGTCCTCAAGGTTTAAGGGTGCTGAGAAGTGGGAAGCACCCTGTGGGCCTCAAACTGAGAGCAACAGTCAGGAGAAGGCAGAGCGGGGGCAGCAGGCCCCCCCAGGAGTGAGAAGGAGACGCTCTGAGGAGCAACTCAGAACAGCCACTGGACCAAGCCTGCGAGGTTTGCCGTGCCAGGCGTGGAGTTCTTGCACCTGAGGCAAGTGGCCACACACAGGTGGGAGAAGCCCAGCACTCTGTGCTGACCCTGCTGGAAATAAGCCCAAAGACTGTCCACTGTTTAAATCAACAAAACAAGAAACTTAAGCCCCTGAATGAATCATCAGTAGCAAAGCAGGCACTGTGATCATTTCTTCTTCAGTTCAATGAACTTCTACCCCCCCATGGACCATGGCTGCTGTGGTGGTCTCCAGGAGTGGGCACAGGCCAGGGAGGTCAGCTGACCACCCGGCCTACAGTTCTGCCTGCAGGAGCCAAGGCTTGCTCCCCCAACACTGGGTGCAGCCTGGCAAGAGGGCCCGACCCCATGGACACGTACCCAGTATGCCCACAAGAGCATGAGCACTGCTGGAGGGCACTGAGGCCCAGGACATCCACTGCCCCCATGCAGAAAAGGGCAGGCAGGCCCCTGGGCAGGCCTGCCAAGGGTGAGCGAGAGCCATCAAACTCAAACCTCAGGTGCCCCCACGACGCAGCCTCGACGCCCTCCAATCCGCGACAGGTGCATACAACAAGCGTCCTGAAAAAGAACCACCTGCAGGGCAGTGTTTGGCAGGCCCGAGGGCCACCCCTGGACCCCAGCAGAGAGGCACATGCCCAGGACACAAGCTCTCAGCACTCCTGCACTCGTGCTGCTGGGTGAAGCTTTACAGGCCTCAGACACTAAACAGGACCAAGCGAAGCCCCAGGAGGTCGGGCCCCCAGAGGAGGTTTCCTGACCACCACGCGAGAGGTAGCAGGGGAGACAGGCTGTTAGGAGCAGCAGATCCTCAGAGGCACCCCTCATGTGTGAAGCACTGCTGCTGAGCACCTGCCACGGACGGAGGCCCTGCCCATCACCATGAGGGCAAAGCTGTGGGTCCCACCCGTCACCTCTGGCCCCGAGTCTCCACACGTGGGGGTCTAGCCACTGGGGACTTAAGTCAGGAAACATTTCGGGAACAGCCCTTGGCCAGCCAAGGCCCAATTCTAGGGAGAAGCAAAGCCAGCAATCTTGGCGTCAGCAACAAATCACAGAAAAGTTCTGGTTTTGAAGCAGAGCACACCAAATCATCTCCTTGGACTGTAGAGGTGCTGTAAACCTTAGCCATGATGGTCACAGTTCTGACACGTGAGAAAAACCGTCATTAACCAGGAAGAGCATTCCAGAATCCAGACTAGGAAATCAACAGTCGGATACATTAAACACAGCAAACCTCAAGCTAAGATGGGTAGCCAAGGGTTGGTCTGCAGCAGGTGACCCAAGCAGAGAAAGGGCTCAAGGACACTGCTTGAGGAGAGCCCGGTGCCTCATCCAGCACTGCCAGCTGAGGACGCAGAGGGCTTGTGGCCTGTGCACCTATCAGGAGCTTTTCCAGGGAGTCATCCCAGGCTCTTCCCCAGGCCTCCACACAAGGAATCAAGAGGCATCTGTTGGCTTGGGGCTGGCAAAGAGCACGAAGCTGTCTGCCCTACTGACAGGAACCAAGGGCCATCCCGGCGTCTCCTTCTCTGATTAGGGTAGAACTGACCCACACACCGAGGAGACATGGCACCTCAGGTTTACGGGTGGTCAGCTGCTGAGTCTCCAGTGCAGCTTCCTGGGTGGGGGACTTCCTCTTCCCGGCTTTAGCAGAGGCAGATGCCCCTCCACACTCTGAGCAAACTCCAGGCCATCCCCACCTGCTTTACCAAATCACAGCCCTGAGGGTGCCCGCTGCCAGAAGACCCCGCACAACGAGAGGCCAGCTAGGCCCCACACTTGGCCACTTCTGAAATGGCACCGCCCACGCCCAGGTAGACAGCAGGCTGCCATGCTGGCAGACCCATGGGCGTGCAGCACGTTCGCCTGAGGGTCGCTGGCCACTGCTCCTACCAGGGCTTCATCCCTGCTAATGACGAAAATTTAAAAGGGGTGGAGAAAATGCTCATTTTGTCCAGAATTGAAAAACTGTGATACATGTTACCTGCCGTGGTTTGCATGTCCCCATCAAAAATCAGGCTGAAGCCAACCCACCATGGGGTATCAAGACAGGTCCACTGTGTCCACCTGGTGTCTGGAGGGGGCCCTGGGCTTGGAGCTGCCCCTCTCCTCCTACCTGACAGGGCAAGATCTCCCCATGCAGGGCCTGCTCCTGAGCCCCAGCGTCAGTGACTATAGCAGGGAGTGGGCCAAGACAGTACCTAGGTGTTGACTCCACGCTCAACTAATGGAACAATAGCTGAAAGTGCTCCCCAACAGAACCTGAGTATCAGTGTCAGGAACTGTTTTATCCTACGATTTTCTTTAAAGCTGGGAAAAGATAAATGTCATGTCATCTGTAATTGTTTGATAATGAGATTATCTGAAATAATTTTAAGAATATAATTGATTTTTATTAAAACACAGTATTGGGGCTGGGGATGTGGCTCAAGCGGTAGCGTGCTCGCCTGGCATGCGTGCGGCCCGGGTTCGATCCTCAGCACCACATACAAATAAAAATGTTGTATCCGCCAATAAATAAAAAAAAAAAAAAAAAAATTACCCCTTCTCCCTCTCTCTCTTTAAAAAAAAAAAAAAAAACATAGCACAGCCACAGGCTATCCCTGAACTACCTCTGAACTACCCAGCTGATAAACGTTGCTCACGTAGACAGCACTGGGCTGGACACCCCCACTCTGCGAGGCCGCGAGGGACGAATGCCAAACTCACCACCCACCCACCTGCCGAGTGCCCACGCCTACCCCAGCCCAGGGACTGACCTGGGCAGGCAGAGGTCAGCATGGGCAGCGCACGCTGTTCCTCGTTGTGCTGATGGAACCGACGCACAAACTCTTTCTGGCTCTCCAGGATGCTCAGGTCTGCAGCTATCGAGGTGTCAAACACGTAGTGCACCCCTGTAGGAGAGAGGGGCGCTGTCTCCACCCATGGGGACCAGGGTCTGCCTGAGCCCAAGGGGCCACAAGTCTTGGCTCGTCTCTAACTAAGGGCCAGTTCAGGACCGAGGATTTTAATTTTTTTTTTTTTTAAATAAGCATACATCACTTTTACAATACAATACATACACTCTGTCTCCTGCGTCTCCCTTTCTGTACGTCTATGTTAGTAGAACTATCTTACAGCACTCCATGTGTAAGCCAATGGGGCATCATAAGATATGTAAAGCATTCTCTTCTAACTCAGTGGCACATTAAAATTTCAGTCTGGCCAGGCACAGTGGCTCATGCCTGTAATCCCAGCAGCTCGGGAAGCTGAGGCAGGAAGATCTCGAGTTCAAAGCCAGTCTCAGCAATGGTGAGGCACTAAGAAACTCAGTGAGACCCTGTGTCTAATAAAATATAAAAATTGGGCTGGGGATGTGGCTTAGTGGTTGAGTGCCCCTGAGTTCAAACCCCAGTACCCAAAAAATACATAAATATTATGAAATTCAAATTTTTTACTTTAGAAGAAACCAGTTTTCTTTGTTAAGATCTAACAATTACACACTGACAAGCCTCCACACCACACTCCAGAGCACCGACTGCTCTGCTCTTGTTTCGCCTGAGCTCCCGGGGACTGGCCGGGTATAGGAGCACCTGGATGAGTTCACACGTGGCTGCTGGGTCTCGGCTGCAGCTCTTAAGGCCCTAAATCACCTGCCAGGAGAAACCACCACTCACCAAGAACACCAAGGAGGAATGGGGCCAGAAGCTGCTGCTCAGCCCTCGGGCCTGCCTGTGGATGCTATTCCAAGGGTCTTGTGACAACTGTCCCACACTACGCTTACTCTTTACAAAGCCCTGTCTGGCCAATGACTCAGCTCTCCTCTGTCCTCTCTGCCCGCCTGCTGGCTGCCATGCCAAGAGGATGCTCAAGGGCTCTGTGACACCACCACTCAAGGACCGGGCAAACAGACCACTCGGGAGCCCTGTGGCCATGCCAGGAGCAGCTCCAAGTCTCAGCAGTCTTAGTTCCCTTTTGACATTCTCCATCTTGACTGTACTCTCTTTTTTGGTACTGAGGGCTGCTTTACCATGAGCTACATTCCCAGTCCCTTCTAAATTTTTTTTTTCTGGTATCGGGAATTAAACTCAGGGGCACTCAACCACTGAGTCACATCCCCAGCCCTATTTTGTATTTTATTTAGAGTCAGGTCTTGCTGAGTTGCTTAGTATCTTGGGGTTGCTGAGGCTGACTTTGAACTTACAATTTTTCTCCTGCTCAGCCTCTGAAGCCACTGGGATTACAGGCATGTGCCACCATGCCCAGCTACCTTTCACTTTTTAAAATTTATACCCACAGTCTCTTTACTGTTTTTCATTTTGAGATGGGCTGGCTAAGTTGTCCAGGTTGGCCTTGAACTTGAGACCCTCCTGCCTCAGCGTCCAGAGGAGCTGGGATTGCAAGCATGGCCCCTGAGCTGGCTTGATTATATTCTTAAACTACCACCTATCACTCCTCACATAAAGAATACCTGCCTAGGGGTGGGATGGTAGCTCAGTGGTAGAGAGCCAGCCTAGCATGTCTGAGGCACTGGGTTCGACCCTCAGCACCACATAAATAAATGCAATAAAGGTATTGTGTCCATCTGCAACTAAGAAAAAAAGAACACCTGCCTACTCTTTTCTTGGGATATCGGGCACTCATCATTTCAGACGCTTCTCTATCCAAACGCCTTCCATGAGCTGGCGGCATGGAGGCTGCTGCCAAGGGTGGAGGCCTCCCATACACCCCTGTCCACAGTGCCAGCAGGCACTCGCCTCTAGCTCCAGAGGGATCAGCCCTTCCTGCAACAAACACCTGTCCACGCAGACTAGGGGTTAAGAAGCACCGCCAGCCATCAGTCGAGGTTGGCATACAGGGCAGGGTCGCTTTACATTCCATGAGGTGCTCCTGGAAGTATCTCATTTCTCCTGTGCCCTTGAGATAAAGGGGCCCTTCATGACCTCCAGTTTTAAATCACAGTATTACCAAAGGTGACTCACCAAGACTTTTGAGGAAGCCACAGAGTCTTCTGGATGCATCAGTGACACTGAGGTTGAATTTAGCAGCAAAATAAGGCAAAGACTGAGGACACACAGACACTACCAGCACTCTGTGCTTTGAGGTATCGCATCTCTACAAGAGAACAGAGTGGTGTCACCTCCATGAAGGGCAAGCTAGACACCTTAAGGAAAGACTCAGCACAAACAGAATGCAATACATGTTCCATGCAAAGACTGTAAACTAGACAAGCGATGGCAAGCGTGACTTGGAGAAGGGCATCAGGACTGAAACAAGACAATTCACAACACTGGCCCTTAAGTCACAGAAGTCACCAGGTAACAATAAAAATGTATATAAACTTAAATGACTGTCCAAAGGTCAGTCTCCTAGAAACCATCAGGCTAGGTCATTCAGTGGCACACTTTAGCCACTAAAAATTTTAAGTCTGGAAAGAACTGACAAATTGTCCTTTACAAACTCTTCTAGAAAATTTTGACTAGCTGGGCTTTGTGGCCACACCAATAATCCCAGTGATTCGGGAAGCTGAGGCAGAAGGATCACGAACTCAAGGCCAGCCTCAGCAACTTAGTAAGACCCTAAGCAACTCATTGAGATACTGTCCCAAAATAAAAGTTAAAGTAAGCTGGGGCTGGGGCTTAGTGGTTAAGTGCCCCTGGATTCAAACCCTGGCACCAAATAAATAAGTAAACTAACTATATACGTGCATTCCTTAGTAAGAATGGCTTTCTTCAAAATGCAAATTAAAACAGTAAGAAGCAGATGGGCATAAGCAGTTCAGGGAAATCCCTGGGGAAGCACCAGAGCCATCAGACTGAGCACAGCCTGCAACAGCCCTGGAAGCGTCTGCAGCGTGCCACCAAGTGTGAGTGCTGGCCACACACCGAGCACAGCAGAGCCCAGCCCGCACTCGCCTCACATAGCCCCCAGGCACCTGGAACGGGCTCGCCTCTGAACCCCAGTGTCAGGATTTGTCACAGCAGCTGGGTGCAGTTTTGAAGTATGATAGAATATAAACAAGCAACACAACTGTGACTTGCCAATAAACATTCCAAATATCTCCAGCTGAATAATCAGGAGAAAACAGGGACACCTTCTGCCCCTCGGGGTGAACTGCACCCTTGACACCACAGTTATCCCTCTGCATCATGTGTGGGAGTACCAGGGATACAGGCACTTGTAAGGACATTTGCAAAAACTACAGATGCCACAGAATTAGAAGTCTAACCGTACTGTGGAGCGTGCCAGGAGAGAACGCAGGCATCCCTGACTCTAGTTCAGCGCCATGGAATGGCTAACGCCACTCTGTTCCCTGACAGGATGAGGCTGAGCAGGTGGAATCAGCTTACAGAGTGTGGTGGGCAGCATGCGGGTGCTATTCAGAACACCCCAGCTGGGCACCAGCAGCTTGCCTTGGACCCCTGGGAGACTGCACACCAGGAAGGGGACACAGGGCGCAGCTAATGCTGACAACACCCAAAACTGGAACCTAAAAGGGTGGATGACTTGTCCAGGAAAATGCCAGAGTGTGAGGCAGAGCACCTGAGGTATCCTAGTGCTGCCCTGCACGAGCACTCACGTGAGCCAGCATTCTGGGTGGGGCACTCTGTGGCAGATCACTTGCCTACCACGCGAAAGGCCCCGGATTCCATCCCTAGAACCCCTCAAAAGTAAACAAAAACCTAAAGATTTTCAAGGTTTTTAAGCACACTGACTACTGACTACATCAGAGAAAAGACCTACCCTACTCTGTCATGTGGGTCAGGGCACGATACCTGGGCAAGGTGGGACACACACACACACACACACCTCTGTGACAGAGTATGCCAACTCTCTGGGTGCTGTAAATCAAGACCCCAACAACCCCACCACACCTCATTTCTCTTTCTCTTTTATTCATCTTGTTGAAAGATAGTGGCGCCTGGTAGTTCTGTACAGGAGGTCCAAGGGACATGCTGAAGGAGGATTTGGGATCCATCACCCGTCCCTGGGGTCCCAGCCTGCCCAAGTCGCACAAGACCATTATCACCCAAGCCTATCTCTGAAACTCAGACCTGTCTGCTGGACCTCACTAGGCTGTGGCCGCCCTTCCAGCTAGGAGATGAATGTGTGCTGCCAGCCACTCTCCCAGAGTCGGCAGAGGAGTCTGGGCAGGGGTTTTATTCCCCATGGAAGGGCTTAGGGCAAGGCAGACTACGGCAGGGAACAGGAACTTCATGACACCAGGAAAGGCAGAGACATGCATCGATGTCCCAGCAAAGGGTTCCACGTACACGGAGAACAGACTTCACCTCCCCCTTGACCCACCATCCCCAGGTCAGCTCCACAGGCACAGTGACAGCATGCGCTCTGAACATCATACCTTATTAAGGTTCAGAACGCGGAAGAATTCCTTGGTGCTCTGCTGAGACAGCTGGGCTCCTTCCTCTGCAGTCAAGCAGCTGTCGCACGCCAGGCAATCACTCAGAAATATCTTGGCATCAGCTAACCTATGGAACTCTCCCTTCTGTGAAGGAAAGCGTCAGTTTTGCATTAACATGTGCTTCTTTAGGGAGGGTAATGGCATAAACACAATACCCAGAACTCACGCTAGGCAGGGAGACAATGGCAGGGCAAGGCCAGTAATTGGCAGCAAGCCCACGATGACAGTCACAGATGGAACCAACCCCAGCACTGTCACATGTGGAAAGATGATACTCCTATGTGCTGTGAGCTGGCCAAGTGGGTCCTTCCCCCATACCCTTCCTCTGCAGCACCTGTGTCCCAGCCACTGGCTTCCCTGCCTGGCTCCCCTGCTCCATGCCTCCTGAGTTCACCTGTCCCATGGCTCCCATGGGTGCCCTGGCTTATCTCCAGGCTCATAATTTGCACAACTCACTTCTAGTTCTGGGTCTCTGGGTCCTCAAACCATCCTGGACTGGGCTGCTGGTGTGCAGACCTGCCCCATCCCCACCTCCCCAGTGACTGCTCACCTGGATGCAGAGAGTGTAGACAGAACTTCAACCCATGCGACCCCTTTGTCCTCTCCTTCCTGACTGGCCTCTATACCTCCCCCTGGCCCTCTGCAGCCTCCAGAGAGATCTGTTAGAACATAAAGCATGTCTTCACTCTGCTTGGAGCCCCCAACAATAGACCCTCACATGGAAGGCCACATCAGCCCTCCTTTGCCCTGGTCCCTGCCACGCTGGCCCTGGCTGTTCTTGTGTCCCTATGCAAGTGCTCCTGGAGAACTACAGGCTCACCTAACAAGTTCCCCTCACAGAGAGGGTGTTCCCACACCTGTTTTCTTTGCACCAACTACAAGCATTAATGTTTATCCCACCTCGGTGAGCTTTGTGAAGGTGTAGCTTTGTCTTGATCCTTCTGTTCCCCGCACCTCTACTGCATACAGAAGGTGCTCAGTAAATATTTGGTGGGTGAATATATGAAAATGCTGAGCCAACAGAATAATTTTAGTCAGTAATAAAAGCTCTGGAGGGCATCTATCCATTCTTTTTTTTTTTTTTGCTGTTGTAGATGGACAGAATGTCTTTATTTTATTTATTTTGATGTGGTGTTGAGTATGGAACCCAGTGCGTCCCACATGCTAGGCAAGCGCTCTACTGCTGATCTATAGCCCCAGTCCTATGAAGTTTTTTCTTTAAAACATGATTTGACAGGCTTCGGTGCTCCACCCCTCCTTTGACGGCACACCCTCTAAGGGAGCTCAGGTGGTGGCCAAGTGTCCCTGTGCAGCCTGCTCATCCTGGGGTTTTGCTCTTGCAGATGCAGATCCAGGAGGTCAAATGGAATCAGGAACTGGTATTTTAACAAGGTACCAGACGGAGCCTGCGACTCACAGCAAGAGTCTGGCACCTACCTGATCCTGTGGAGAGCACTGAGTTCTACCTGCACTGCCCACAGGTCATCCAAGGAGATGCCCGTCACCACCCTGATCACAAAACAGAACCCTGCAAGCTTCAGGGTCCACCCCTCACCTTCCTTCCTCCTTGCCCCCTCCTTCTGTAGCTGTGGAATGGCAAGAGCCCTCTTCCATTTATCTCATTACTGACAATGCTGCAACTTCACCTCCAGCAGGCACCCACTCCCAAGCCTAGATTGGGGTCCTCTGGTTCCTCTGCCACGCTGCATGGCTCACTCAGGCCTGCAACGCTGCCTACGTGGCTTCCATCATTCACTGTGGCTGCTGCATCTATTACCTGCCCTAAAAACAACCTGAGACTTCCCCCTTACTCGAAGAACCCCAGTGGCTTCTTCACGGCCATCAACCTGAACAAGGGGGGCCCCTGCCCCTGCTCAGACCTCTCCTGTTCATACCCCCAACACTCTTACCAGCTCCTCTCATCCTAGCAGTGTGCCCATTGCTGAGCTGGTAGGCACATGTGTTATCTCACCCTCACCGGAGCCCTGGGAAGCCAGTAACCCAACTCGCCACAACTAGATAAAGAACGGGGCCTCACGGGGGTTAGGTTTTTGTGCAGGGTGATGCAACCGAAGGGCAGGCCTGGGAGAAGGCCCCAGGCCTGGCTGTTCCGAGCTCTGGCCCCAACTGGCCCAAGGCTCCAGGTGCTCACTGCCTGTTTTCTGCCCCGCTGCTCCCTATGCCTAGCCTCCACTGCACAGCACCAGCACACAGGCGAACCAGATTAATGACCATCAGACCAACAGCATATCAGAACTAGTGAACCTAACAAGAAAGATCCTCCACCTGCTCTTCCCCTTCTTCCCATGTTGCCAGTTCTCCACTTACAAAACAGGCTCCAGTATTCTGGTTTTTCTTCTTTTTCTTTTTTTTTGCAGTACTTGGGATTGAATTGAGGGGAACTTTATGTCACTGAATTGCATGACAGGGTTTTGCTAAGTTAAGTTGCAGAGGCTGCCCTTGAATTTGTGATACTCCAGCCCCAGCCTCCAGAGTAGCTGGGATTATAGGTGTGCACCATCATGCCCATTGGTTCCAGTATTTTCCTATAAAAGACATGACCTTAATCTACCGGCATCATGTCCTTCCCTGTGACCCAGGAACATTGGTAGGACTTACTTGAAATGCTCATTCTGAGCATGAAATGACATATAAAGCTCATCTCAGGCTGGGTAGATGGCACTTGCCTATAATCCTCGAACTTGGGAGGCTGAGGCAGGAGGATCACAAGTTTGAGGCCAGCCCAGAAAATTTTGAGACCTTATCTCAAAAAAAAAAAAAAAAAAAAAAAAAAAGAGGTGGGGATGTAGCTCAGTGATAGAGTAAAAGTGGATTCAATCCCAGTACTGAAGGAGAAAAAAAAAGAGCCCAGCTCAGGGGGTGTATCAAATAAACATGACTAAAGAGAATTAAAAACTAGGAACTAAATTAGAAAAGAAACCATGTAAAAATTAAATCTATATAATCATCATGAAATTTGGGTTACCTTATAAATGTCCTATCTCAACTATTGTTTTTTAAAAAAAAAATTTTGGTGGGGGAGGATCCTGGGGATTGAACCCAGGAGTGCTCTACCACTAAACCACATCCCCACTCCATTTTATTTATTTATTTACTTGGGGTATGCATTGGGGATTTAACCCAGAGGCACTTTACCACTGACCTATATCCCCCAGGCCTTTTTATTTTGAGACAAGGTTCTCCCTAAGTTGCTGAGGCTGTTCTCAAACTTGAGATCCTCCTACCTTAACCTCAGTGCCCACAGCCCAATTCTCATTTTAATGGAAATTTCCGTTAAAAAAGAGTTGAGATTTAAATATCAGAGCACTATTTCTTTGTTCCTAGTGCAGTGTTTTGGCTTGGTATGTTTGAGAAGATAGGCTGTGTGGAAAGAGAGACTTTCCTGCACAAGGCTATTAGCACCTTCAACTTTACTTCAGTCTTTCTTAGAGCAATGATGTGCATGGTGATATGAACCTCAAACAGAGAAAAACAGCACCAGCCACTTACTTTAGGCTGATACAAAACTAAAAAGTCTATACTTACTTCTCCATTCTCCCGGGCTGGACTTGGTGCATCAACTGACACATTCTCTTGGTCATCTGTTTTTGTTTTTTTACTACATTCCTTAAAAAAACGCAAAAGAATATTTTTTTTGTTTTTTTTAAATTTTTTTTTAAGTTGTCAATAGACCTTTATTTATTTATATGTGGTCTGAGAATTGAACCCAGTGCCTCACACCTGCTAGGCAAGTGCTCTACCACTGTGCTACAACCCCAGCCCAAGAATATTGTTAAAGAACAACTTTTAACCTGATTCTCTCCATTTAAAAAAAATAAAAATAAAAAATACCTGACCAACTAACCTCATGTCCAGAAATCTTTTTTAGAGAAGAAAAGCAACTGTTCTTCAGGATGCCACAGACACACACACACACACACACACACACACACTCTCAGTCCTTCAACAACACTGTCTGCAATAACTAGGCACTACAAATGAGGTGGCCTTCCAGGCTGCCTTACCTGGAACAGATGCACTTAGGATGTGATGTAACCATTACAAAGAACCTCTCTCAATTCTGTGAGAGAATGTCTCCCACAAAGCATTAAAAAGAAAGTTATACCTAGTATTTATGATGTGATATAATTTTTAAGCAAACAACGGGGCTGGGGTTATGGCTCAGCGGTAGAGCGCTCGCCTTGCATGTGTGAGGCCCTGGGTTCGATCCTCAGCACCACATAAAAAAATAAACAAAATAAAAAAAACAAAAAAATCTGATTAAAAAAAAAAAAACCTTGCACACACACTGCATGGTTGTTACAGGGGATGCAAGGGTAGAGGGCCACTGTCAAATTACAGAGCAGAGAGGAGTGCCCGCCCTTGTTTCCCTCTCCACTTTTTTTAAGTGATTTTTATGTGGTGCTGAGGACCGAACCCTGTGCCTCACATGTGCTAGGCAAGTGCTCCACCACTGAGTTACGACTTCAGCCCCTCTCTCCCCACTTCCCAACTGTTTAAAAGTTTATGAGCCAGCCGTAGCATTTGTGATTATAGCAAACTGCTCTCGGGCAGAACCGCGACTGGCACAAGGACTCAGAGCCCCAGTTCAGCCACCACCGCCAGACCCGCGATGCGCTCGCCCGCAGCGACCTCCACCAGCGCCCCGCCGGGCTCAGCCACACGGACACCCGCGGACTACCAGAGCTGACAGGTGTCAGCAAGCCGCACCCGGCGAGCGGGACCCGGCCGGGCCTTGACCTCCGACCTCCAGCCTCGACATCAATTCGCGACCCTCAGACCCCGCCCACATCCCAGATCTGTCCCGGACCTCCGACCCCAGCTTTGACCACGCCGGGTGCGGCGCCCACCTTCCGCGTGCAGTGCTCACACTTCATCTGGAGCTTGACAGGAGAGAGGCTGGGCGCCCAGGCAAAGCGTCGCACCGATCGACACAGACACCTCCGCCCGCCACCCGCAGCCCTTTGTTGTCTTTGCTCTGGCAAGGCCACACCCCTAAGGGCTGCGTGCGGCCAACGAGAGCACCGAGACAGAGAGAGCCACACCCCTCGGCCAATTAGGAGCGTGAGGAGGACGGTTCGGCCCCCCCACACCTATTGCGCGGCCTAGGCCAATCAGAGAGGCAGAAAGGGGCGGGCCCTTTCACAGAGCCAATCAGAGTGTAGAAAGGGGCTTGGTCGCCCCTTCCGATCCTCAGCGGCCCTGGTCGAGTCTCCCTCGAGCTTCTGTTTCGTGCTGGGCGTGGGGCAATGACTAAGCCACGTTTATGAGGGCGAGAGGCTAGCGCGAGGGCGGTCCGGAGGAAGGCGAGACTGGGCAGTTCCGGGACCCTCCGGCTCCATCAGCTCAGCTTCGGATGCTGCCCCCCCCCCGCTCCTTTTGGGCGGAGACGGGACCGCCATGGCCACCCTGCAGTTCGTCACGTAGACCTTGCGAGGGGGTGGTGCGCCTGCGCCGCGGGTTGGACCACGTGGGCGGGGTCTGGAAACTGAAAGTCGGTGTTCAAAGGAGGCCGTTGGTCCCCGGGTCTCGTCACTGCAGGGAGTTTTGTTTTTGCTATCAGAGAATGAACCCAGGAGTGCCTAACCAGCCCTTTTTATTTTTATTTTGAGGCAGGGTATGGTTGCCTAGGTGCTTGGTGAGTTGCCGAGACTGACCTTAAACCCGAGATCCTCCCACCCCAGCCTTTCTAGTCACTGGGGTCCATCACAGGCGTGTGCCACCGCTCCTGGCCAAGGGTATTGGTATTGGTATCCAGCCCTTAGGCTTCGCGTAACTAAGAACAGTTTTTGTTCCTCCAAGAAATTGGTTCCTGCGGAGCAAAACTCACTTGTACTTATAATGTGCAGGGCTACGTGGAAACAAACATGCTGGGTACAGAATAAGAAATGAAAAAACCTAGTCAGGCACGGTGACACGCAAGCCGGAGAATTGCAAGCTCGAGACCAACCTCAATAACTTATCTAAATTCTGTATCAAAATAAAAAGGGCTGAGGATGTAGCTTAGTAGTGTAGCCAGCCGCCTTGGGCTCGCTTTACACAAATCTTCCTTTCACGTGGTAAGTGCTTGGTATCACATGAGGTACACAAGCCTCCTAGGAACAGCCAAAGCTCTACTGTTGGTTATGTAGCTTTGAAATGGTACAAGCACACCGTTTACCTTGTGAATATTTTTGCTGTAATAAGAATTGGGAGCGCATTCTCTGTTCCCTTGGAGAGAGTGGCCTCAGTTCAGACCCACTGAGAACTTCATGACCTCCTTCTACCCCGCAGGAATGTTACAGCAAACCTTATCCTTGTACGCCATATATGAGTTACTGACCCCAACACCGGACTTTCACATGCATATTCTGAAGGCTCAGGCTGGGAAAACCCTGGAGCTCCGAAGGCCCCTCCTTCCAGGTCTTGTAACCATGGTACACTTTATGCTTTGAATATAGCCCTTGCCACTCTACCGCTGCAACTTAGAAACTTTTTTAAAATATTTTTTTAGTTGTAGATGGACACAATACCTTTATTTTATTTATTTATTTTTATGTGGTCCTGAGGATTGAACCCAATGTCTCATACCTGAGAGGCAAGTTTTCTGTCACTGAGCCACAATCCCAGCCTGCAACTTAAAATAAGGGACTTGTTTTATTCTCTAACAGCCCCCATTCTCCTCCTACCTAACCTCTCCCCCTCCCTAATCTTCAGAAAACAGGATTGCCTTCCTTTTCCATCCTGGGCAGAGTTATCTGTCCTTGAGCATGCATCCATGACAGGAACTAAGTAATTCAGACTTGGGGATGGTACCAGAAGAGCTCAGAAATCACTATCTCCCAAATTAACAAGTGAATTACAACTCCAGACAGCAGGAAAAAAAAAAAAAAAAAAAAAAGTGGAATATGGTCTTTAAAAGCCCCTGCTTCTCCTGATGGGTAGAATTACAACATCTGGGATATGAGTTCCCCTGTTTCTCCCTTGCTAGTGTTATCCCAGATTCGTGGGACCCCAAAAGACCTCCAGGAGCCAAATCCGATGCAATCACACAAGAGTCTTTATTGCAAGCTTGAGCCTGAACTCACAACCGTTCCCGATGCAGCAGTCCCAGGGAGTGAGTCCCAGTCCTTTGTCCAGTGAGATTTTATAGGTTTTGGGGGGATACTCTATGTGTCATAACCACACAGCAAATCATTCCATACCACGGGAAAGTCACAACTCTTAACATTGGTTAGCACATTCAATGGCGGGAACAAGTTGGGTAGGGGTGATTGGTTAGTGCAAGAAGGGTATTTCTTTGAACTGATTGGTTTAGGCCATGAGGGGTTCACGTGCTAAACTACATGGTGTCCCAACATGTTATCAAACACCATAAACTACTGGGGGGTCATCTGGCATTCCAGGTATTTTCCCTGTCTCATGCTGATTGGAGGTTGCTAGGGGGGTTGCTATGGATCCTCTCTAGCCTGAGTCAGGGATACCTGGCACCCCAGATCTCTCCTGTTATTTGTAGACAACTCAGCAGGGTGGATATGTGCTTAGGAGTGCTCTGTGGGTTTTTCCAAGGACAAGGGTCATGCCTCCTTCCTTAGGACAGGTCTTGAGGTAGAAGCTGCTATTATTTATTTTTAAAAATGGAGTCACATCAGTTTCTCACTTGCAAAGCAATAAAACGTCTCCTTTTTCTCAAAACCGCATCCTTGTTATTGGGTTGGCATTAGGGACAAGGCCTGAGCTTTTGGAAAAAGCGAAGTTCACCTAGAACCACTCTAAATTGGACTTTACCTTCTACAGGTTGTCGTGATGGGCAAAAGGTTCGACTTATGCAGTCGAGGAGAAATAAAGAATGTCCATGTGCTTCTGCCCTTTTCAATGCTTTATTCACTCAAATCAATACAATTTCACTCTACAGGTTAATCAAGAAAATGATGATCCTTAATGCTAAGCACTGCAATACACATGATCAATTCACAAGAAACAATTCTAGATTAATTCTAAGCACTGCAAACACACTTAATCATGACAGGCTAATGAAAGACATTCCCACTGCATGCCAGTTCAAGTATCAGATCAAAAGTCTCAAGCCTTAGGCTTTAAGTCCAGCAGATGCACATTCACTCTGACCACAGTGATCAGGTCAGGAACCAAGGCAGGCTTCTCCTGGGGTGGAGCTGACAGCCAGCTGAGGAGAGGGTCCTAAGGAGAAGTTGCTGTTGTCACCAGGGTCAAGATGTGGCTGTAGAGTTTGAGAGTGGTGAGGAAAATGCAGAGGATCAGGAAACTATGAAAAGAGTTGGGGTGTCAGTCCAGATCCTCATCAGGCTCTCTGGCATGTGGGCATCATTGTCGGCTGGCTGAATGTCTGTTCATTTGCTCCATCATTTATGCTAAATCATGAGGCTTCTGACTGTCCCTTCAATCCCTATCAGCTGCTAATTTCTTAGTGACATCATTCGTCCTGAGGTAAAAGCATCTGGTCTGGTGGTCCCCACCCTGATTTTCTTGCATGCCAGAGACTTCACTCTTGAGTTTGTCAGGGTGGGGAGAAGTGACTGTGACTTGTTTGTGCCTGAGGACCACACGAGGGCTCCCTGGGTGTGCCTGGTGAAACTACAGGTTTCAAACTGGAGGGTTTTTTGTTTTGTTTTTAATTTTTTTTTTTTAAGAGAGAGAGAATTTTTAATATTTATTTTTTAGTTTTCGGCGGACACAACATCTTTGTTTGTATGTGGTGCTGAGGCATGCGTGCTACCACTTGAGCCACATCCCCAGCCCTCAAACTGGAGTTTTAAAATGGAGTTGCTTAGGCTAAGGCCTACGGCCATCCTTACACAGGATCTTCATTCTAAGCAACTAGATTTTTTGTCTTTTGGAACTTACTATTCTGTTAATGAACTTCACTTATTGGGTGGGTTCCTGTGCAAATCATCTGATGTTCGCTTCCTTTTTAAGCATAGTGAACCAAAGAGAAAAAATATCTTAGTATGGTGAAGGGTAGACCCACCTACATCCTTGTAGATGGGTCTGAGAATTAAATAAGACAGATTAGCTTGAGAAAAAATACAAATATATTTACAAGTTTTAATGGCACAGGAGTCTTGTGAAGAAATAAGGCCTTGAGGCAGCAGTTAGAAGGCAGTTACTTATACACTGGGGTGGATGAAGAACGTTAGAGGGGCAGAAATGTGGAGAGATTTAAAAAAAAAAAAAAGCTATTTTATCAGTCAGTAGGGTATCCCTGCCTCTCCTCTTCTCCTTGAGGATAAGGACACTTCTTTTGTTTCTAGTGCAGGGAGAAATCTTTGATAGAAGGATCCAGTCTCCTTCTTTTAAGAAACAGTAAGGGGCCTGGCCCAGTTGCCTAGGCCTTTAATCTTAGCCATTCAAGAGGCTGAGGAGGAGAATCCTAAGTTCAAGGAAAATTTAGCAAGGCTCTGTCAAAATAAAAAGGGATAAGGATGTATCTCAGTGGTAAAGTGCTCATGGAATCCATCCCCTGTATTGCAAAAAAAAAAAAAAAAAAAAAAAATCCAATTTTTACCCCATATACAGATTGGATTTTGTCATTTTTCAAGAGCCTTTAATTCAAATGGTCAACATGCCAGTGTTAGGGTAGCTGGCGCAGATATCCACGAAGGACACATCTCTGAGTTCAAGCAAAGGTTTGTTGACAGAGAATATCTGCTAGGCCGCCCTTCTGCAAGGCGCAGCAGCCTGCCGGAAAAAACTTCTCAACTACATAGTCAAGTACAACAGAGTAGTTTAAAAATAACCCATCTGGTCCTGTGATTATTATGTGGCATCTTTGCTGTGGTTTTGGTAGTTAGGAACTCTTTCAGGGTGGGCCTTAACGAGAAGGTCATGCCTGCATGGGTGGCAGGTGCTGATTTTCAAAATGGAGTTACTTTGGCCTAAGTACCTTTCAGACAGAAGAGCATATTTTAATCCCTTCAATGACAAGAAACCCTGTGGTAGAACACTATCCTTTTTTTTTTTTTTTT